TGGCCTTCCCACTGTGCCCCACCTTCCCATGAAGCAGTTCTCCACCAGGTCACAGGTAGGCAGGGACCTCTTACTGACTCAACGTATCCCCTCCCTGCCTTGCTGCTTATCTCTGACTCTCTCTGGCTCTCAGTCTCCCCACAGTGTAACCTCATAGGCCAGGCACCCCCAGGACAGGCACCCAGGGAAGACGGTTGAGCCTGGCTACTGATCCCAAACAGTCTTGTTCTATAAGCTCTTATTTTGTCATGTGCTGGCACTGTCCCAGCTTTAGCTCACTTTCCAGTTCTTGGGCAGAGTGGTGGCCTGTCCCTTAGCATGCAGGGATCTCAGTTATGATACCACTCAACACTCCTGGACGGGCCCAGGCAGCAGAGTATAGCTTTACCACCAAATGAACCTCTGCCTTTCCCAGAGAGGGTAGCCTATCGGCCCAGGCAGTGAGAGGCAGCCTGCTATCAGTCCCAGCAACCAAGAGGCCTGGTGTTGCCGTGCCCCACTTGGCTTGAGGCCACACAGCTGAAGGCACTAGACAGACAGGCAAGGGTATATATTGCTAGGGCCGAGGGAAAGCTGCTGAGACACTAGCCGGTGAGTAGTGAGACCTGGAACTAACACTGGCACGCCCAAAGCCATCATCACCAGTCAGAGCCAACACCAAGAGCCTGTGGGTCCAGGCTGCACCCTCTTCTGAGCCCTGCAGTCCCGGCCCTGGGCAGCTCCGTGAATCTCAAGGCTGACTGTCCACATTCACTATCTGATCTGGTCAGCGACCACAGGTGGACGGGACCACGGTTTGAGTCAGAGGCACACATTCTAGGATAGCAGACTAAGCCTTTGGGTGAGTTCTGTCCTTGCAGAATCATTTCTCCCTCCATACCATCCCACTAGCCAAACTACAGCCCCTTGGGAGCCAGCATGACCATCCTCCAAGCCTCCTCCTGCCCATTCTCACTTGAAAAAGCACCTTCATATCAGAACGTGGACTTGGGCAACTCGCTATTCAGTTCTTAAAATGGTCATTCTAAAATGTAACCCTAAGCCACCAAACACTACAGTTGTCAAAGCCATCTGTAAAACGAAAAGAAAAAACGTAAAACAAATCCATGGCCAGAGGTAGAAAAGGAAAGGCCGAAGCAAGGGCGTGGTCAGCTCTCACGGGAAGCAGAGGCTGTTCATGCCACAATCGTCTGAGCCCCCTCCCCAGTACGGGCTAACGCCAGGGCAGCAGCCCCGAAGTGCCACCTTCAGACAGCAACTTTTCACTCTCGATCTTCACCCCGGCCTCTGAGTGATGCTGCAGTTTAATAATAATTCCCCCAGCGAGTGGAAGAAACAGAAATAGCTTCACCGAGCGCCACAGTACAGTACAGTTTATGAAATCCTGGGGCTCGAAAGCTCCCAGTCTCCCAAGTTTCCATTAAGCAGCTGCCAAATGGCTCTATCGTGGCAGGGACGGCGCCCTTGCTGTGCCTCTCCCAGTCTCTCTGCGGGCAGGCCAGCCGGGAAGGAACGTGTGTCACTTAAAGGCTACGTAATGGGAGAGAGGTCGCCTTGGGTCCCAGCCCTATGACCTCTGCCTGTCAAAGCCAACTTCTGAGCCCCTTTTTATAATCTTTTGCAAAGACTTAAATGCATGGGTACACAAAGCTGCCTTAATGGAAGGTCGCTCTGGCTTGTATAAAAAGCTGTGTAAACTTCATCTCTGCATTTACTCAGCACCAGCCTTGTTTAATTTCCTGCCCAGGGATGTGCAGGGAATGTGCCTGCCCTCTTGGGGCTCAGAATGTCTTTCAGAAAAGAAACAGTGCCCTCCCCACTAGACCAAAAGACCCCCAAAAAAGGGCAAGGTACTGCCTCCAACTTTACCAAAAGGAAAGGCAGTTTGACCACACGCACTTCGTTGAGTTTCTCCTAGAAAAAGCAGCGAGCGACCGAGAGCACCAGCACAGGCTGCAGAGTGTGGGGCTCCTCGGCACCGCAGCCCAGCTGTGTGACCTTGGCAAGCGGCACCACTTCTCAGGGGCCAGCTTCCACCTTGGGAAAACGGGGTGATGGCAGTCCCTATCGCAGGTTGCTACAGAGAGAAAGATAAATGCTGAAGCCCAAGCCCAATGCTCAGCTCACAGGAAGAAGGCCATGTGGAGGCAGGTTCATGATGGTAGTGAAGCATATGGGCCCTGGAGCCCAGCTGCTGGTGTTCAAGCCCCAGGTCCTCCATTCACAGGTGCGAGACCTAGTACGTGTTACTTTCATAAAATGCAGTATGGGGGAGGGCAGCAGGTGGCATAGTGGTTAAGACAGCTGGACTCCCACATGACTGACTGGGGTTCATGTCCCGTACCTGGCAGCTTGCTTTCGCACTTGCCTTCTCTCTCTCTGTCTCTCTCTGGTCAACTTAAAAAAAAAATAAATTATGGGAACCAGCAGTTAGCGTAATGGCTATGTCGCTGGACTCCCACGTGGTCGACCGCGGTTCGTGTCCCGGACCCGGTGGCTTAAAACTCACGCCGGGCACGTGTGCGTGAGTGCCCAAGATCCCGAGAGGAGAATGGAGGAGAAGGGATTGCAGCGTGACCATCCCCCCTGGGGGGTGATTTCTTGCTTTCTATCTCTATGTCTCTCTCTGTCTGTCTGGCGAGCGCACGCGCCCTACAGTGAAAATCTCTCAAAAAAAATTAAATTAAATAATAACAATGAATAAAATGAAATAATTCTTTTAAAAATATGCAGTATGGGGATGAGACACATCAGCTGTTAGGAAGGAATGAGCATGGCCAGGGACTTCAAGTTCAGAGATCTTCCCTGCCCCCACCACAAACAGGGGTGCTACAGGGACACTTCCTTCATACCAAACTCTTGGCAGACTCCCCTGCACCCATTTCCTGGGTGATCATGCTTTCAGAGGAGAACTAGAAATCACCCGCCCTGACCCCTCACTTCATAGCCAAAGGCCTGAGGCCTGCAGAAGTTGCCAAACAGACTCCCAACTGAGCTGCCCAGGCGTCCTGCCACTGCCTGGGCTCTGGTATTGCAGGGAGACAGGAAGTGGGGAAAGCTGAGCCGTGTCATTCCCCGAGCACATGCCAGGAGATTTTTGTCCACACCCCAAACTGATCAGCTATTTAAGCCCTGTGTTCAAGCCTTCCCAGGACTCAGGAAGTACCCAAAGCAGGGTCTCACCTAGATAAAACCCCCATACAGCTGACACTCCCCTTCCCCCACTCTGCGGCTAAAGCACCGGTGAAGAAGCCTGTTCTGGTTTCACATAATGTCCTGCTGGCTGAGAAAATGCTGTCCGAAATAGGTCAGGTCTTCAGAGAAGGGACTCCCGCCCTCTCCTGCGCAGCCCCTGCCAGCGCGGCTGCTGTGGCGTGGCTCTGACGTGGTGCTGTCCTGTGCTAACACAGATAGGCCAGGCCCCATGCAGAGCCAGCTTGCCCATCTGGAAGAAGAGGTGATGACTAAACAGCGGCCAAGCTTCGGGGCCCTGGGCCCTGTGCCCTGGAGCATGCTGGGCAGCTTCCCGGGACTGAGGTAGGCTCCTGGGGTGGTGACTGGGTAGACGGGGTTATGCTGAGTCCTGTCAAGGCCTGACCTGCACACGGTGTCCTCCTAGTCTGCAAGGCCCCCTACAGGCCCAGCCTGGGACTAAGTGAACAGCACCGATGGAGGCCTCTCTGAGCTCTTCTGTACCACACTCAGCAAACACTCTGTAGTCAGGACTTTGGACCACGAAGTTAGAGAGCTCACCAAGGTGTTTACCAGGCTGGGCAGGGATCTGTGGATGAGCCCTGGCCAACGTCAGCCTTACACACCTGGTTGTTCTTGTTATACTTGCGGCCAGGGATGAGGTGCGGGGGGTGGGGGAGGAGAACATCCACTCATCTTTCCTCCGCTTTATCAGCCAGTCCGCCACGCTCTTGCCACATGTTCACCCCAATGGGGGAAGGAAAAAGGACACGATGTGAATGTGGCTGACCCTATGACGGTTTCAGACAAGTGATCAAAGGACTGGGACTAGGATGAGAGGGGAGGAATCTAGGGTGCGAAATTGAAGGAATCCTACCCTGACCCTGCACTCAGAGGACCCCGTGAGCAAGCACCTCCTTCCATCTGTGCCCTAGGTTTCTCACCTGCCTCGCCTTATTCTGCCCTGCCAGAGGATGGCAGGCAGTTGCTCCATGAGAAGTGCAGGGGCTGGGGTGGCCGGGATGGTGGCTCCCATGCTAGTCTGGGGAGCTTGAAAGGCTTCTCAGAGGAAGTGAATATAGACTCCTGGAAAAAGGGACCAACCCCCTTCAGTCTAACTGCCCACCTCCGTCCAGGCCAACAAACTCTTCTAGGACTAGGAAAGGTAGGTGGGGCTCACCAGTGCCATTTCTTCCTCCTGACCCTAGTGCCCAGGCAAAATAGGCAAGGAGAGCTGAGCCTGTGAGGTCGGTGATGGGGATGCACACAACCGTCAGAACACAGCCAGAGACGCTGGCCCGCAGAACAAGTCCCAGCCTGAACCTTGGCTTGGGCCCAACCCCCCCACTCCCATCCCCGGCCATTGTCCCTAGGCTTCCCTGGAGGTGTGTATGCCTGAGCTATCCGGAAGCCAGTGGGGGATCCCGGCAAACCGGGCCACGACTGGAGGGGGGATGGCAAGGAGGTTGAGAGCAGGTGTGCCAAAGCACAGGGCCTCGTCTCTGACCAGGTTTGTAGTCCACAATGATCTGTCTGTTTCGAGTCTCTGTTCACAGGTCTGTAACTGCGTCTCTGTCCGTCAATCTTCCTGTGACCCTGTGTTTGTTTTTCTCTCTCCCTCTCTCTGTAGTTCCTCAGTCCCTGAGCGAAGTGAGGCTGGGCCCCCGGGGCCGCCGCCGCCAGCCCCGCCTCCCACCCCCGCCCGGGACCCGAGTGAACTCGGAGCTCAGTCTCCTGCTCCAGCCTGGGGCAGCAGCCGAAGCGG